AGTCAGTTAGTCAGCTGTCGGCAAGATTCCAGCCATCTTTTTTTTAGCCTTTATTAGTTTACATTTTGGCCAATGGGCATCATTAAAGGCATGCTGAATTAGCCGTTATCAGTTCCTGCTGGTAATGTGCCCATGGATGTAGAAACAACTGTCTCTGAGACTAAAGAAAACTTGAAAACAGGATGATTATCGGCCTGGCTGATTAATTTAAAAATGCGCTACTTTGTGTCGGATCCAGCTCTTAGTTTATATCTATAGTCTCTGTGTGATCTCAGGCAATGTTCTGCCCAAGGCACTATCTGATTGGTCACACGTTACGGTTAATAGCCTATTAGCACAAAAGGATTAATGTTGAAAACGTCTCTTGCGAAAATATGTAAAACATGGATAGGAAAAGGAATTCCACCATTGCTTTAGAGTTGAAATTGGAGTCGAAGAGTTCAAAAATCTGTTATCAGTCTCCTTGATTACTAATAATCTGAATCAGCTATACAAAAAAAACAAACAAAAAAAAACTTGTCAGACATGTCAGTTCCTGTTTGCAGAATACTGAGGCTCAGATAACTATCTACCGCACTGAACAAAACTTAAAAACATGATCATTCTCAGGCAGATGGTTGGACTGTAATGAGTGAATCTTTCCATAATTTTTATGCGAGTTAACAAACTAAAGTTTTCAGTGGGATTCCTACAAAGTATGTTAGAATCCTCCAAAACCTGTAAGTCACAATAAATCTAATAGTATGTAATAAGTACCTCTCAGGTTGTTAATAAACCTCTTATTAAATAAATTAAAATGGCTTAGATGTAACCACTCTACTGCTTTCTCTAGAATGCACAGATCTTTGTCTTTTCCATCCACCCCTCCCCTCGCACTGCAGCTCGAGCACACCAGCTCACCTACCATTCTACTCAAACACTGTAGAACTACTCTACATAACACAATGACAAGCTTGAATAAAAAGTAATTCAAACAAATATAACGACATGGAAAGCTCTAACCTATGAGAAGAAAAGATTGCTTCCTTAGGTTTGTATTCAATTCTGGAAATCTGAATTTGTTGTAAGCTTTTTCCATCCTCTAACATGTAAAAAAACACCATATTGAGATGTTAACTTAATTTGTACCAGAAGGTGTCTTTGAGATTTGACTGAATATTGACCCCCAAGAAACAAAGAATGGGAATTTTGACGGCTCAGGGTCCCATAATTACCTGCAGTGCAACAACCCGTACAGTGTAACACAATACCTTCCTGCTGGCATGCGCCTCATTCTTCTCTCTTTGTACCTCCCATGTAACTCTCCGGGGAGGCTCAACCCTGTGCGCATTACAATACAAGCTTGAAATTCCTCTTTGAAAGCAAGTAACGTGTGTTTCTATGCAGACCACATGTAACGCAGTTCAAAGGTGGGACTGGAATTCACTATTCTTCCGTTTAAAAAAAAAAAAACGCTTTAATCCTCTCATTTATAGCTTGATTCCTGCTGCCATTAGAAATAATAAGAGGCTCGTATTGTGTATTGTGTGCGTCTTGTGACATTCTGACTCCATCCGGAGCGTCTCACTGGCCTCCCTCTGCTTCCCTCCTCTTCCCTGCATACCATTAAACTCTCATTGAAAACTTGGAATAATAGAAAAATAGCTGTTTGGCATGTTACACTTCAAAATGACTGTTATTAGCCGGCCTATTACAGCTCTGTGCTGAGAGGTGTTATTCAGATTACGCTCCCTCTAAACTGGAGGATCAAATCCAACCAGGTAATTCCCTTTACTCTGAACTGTAACGGGAAAACAAAGAATGTTGACGTCTGGTGTGCTTGGCATCTGTTTATTTGATAAAAGTCTCAGTAGTGGGAGTGCTTTCAGTTGGCTGCTATTTTGTTTCCTCTTGCAAAAAGGAATAATCTTACTTTGATTACAGTAACACAGATGGTTCAGTTTACACTAATACATAGCATGTAGCAGAACCAGGTTTATCTATCCAGGTGGAATCCATGTAAAGAAGGCGATGCACAGCAGTGTGAAATGTTACACAGAAGGATTGTGAATTTTCAGTCAACCCGAGCTTCACTGTGCCACTGTAAAACATTTTATCTACTAAGTCCTTGTAGTTAATCGACTACAGATTGTGCGTCAAACCCTCCTACAGCCCTGCACATACCCAAAATCCCCCTCTTGCACTTTCTCGAGATAATGGCTGCGGATGGAAACTTGTAGTTTTCCATCTAATCGTTGAGGTTTTTTGATAGCATGTCATCATTTCTCTTTTATCTCTCATTCTTCCCTGATATAAACTACAGAGTGCGAGCGAGCTATGTTTTTCACACTGATATGAAAAGAGGGAGAGAGGAGGGGAAAAAAAAAAAACAAGTTTACCGGTAGAATATCTGTTTATCGCAGTCAGCGCAAATACACCGAATCAACGGCGAACGCGAGGCATGAGACGCTTCTCCGCCCACCACCCACACCGGCAGAAGCCTGACCCACCGCTGGAGACGCTGATTAGCTTCATACCTCGATAAACACCCTCCTCCCCAAAAATACCACCCACAAACTCATTACATCAATCCGGTGTTTGCCTCTCGGCTTTTATCTATTCACTACATAGCCTAACGTTTTGCATTATTTATATTCTGGCAGTAAAGGTCAGCGGTGATGACGTCTCTGAATGGCGATATCAAACAAAAGATGATTATATGAAATGGAAGTTTGCGTGCGAGCTGTGCATGCTAATCCTACGGTGATACCGGCCTCCAGGGATGTTTAAAGCAGCGCGGAGTAACTACCTCCCTAAACGCAGCTCCATGATGATTTTATTGAAGTTCAGAAGAAAAAAAAAAGGTTTTACGATCTTGATCTGCTTGCATCATTGTGGCCTTAACTGGCGTGACTTCTCTGCTCTTTGTGGTTTTTCGCTGTTATGGAGTGCAGATTACAGAGCCAGAGGTGATCCTGCTGGCTGACAGTCATCTCTGACCACAGAGTAATGGGCAGTTGCCATCTGTCAGTCCACAGACTCCAAATGCAACTGATCTAAGGTGCTGAGATTGAACCAGACGCCGCAGTGCAAGACTAAGGACGACTTTGGACCGTGTGACAGCAGCGATTGTGTGTCATGCCACAGTGTGCGAGATGGGGTGACACTGCTCGCAATCTGGGTAATATCGCTTTGAGAAATGAAATCTTACAATAGTGTTTGAGATATTTCAGTCTGGACCAAACTAAAAATCGCATTTTAAACAAAATTATGTGCAGGCTAATTTCTTTTTGAGTTTTTCTGAGTGAGTATTTCTAAGTAATTAGAACAATTTCACCTTCTAGCACATTCTCTCAAGACACGGAAGTACTAGCTGTCACATGGGATGCCCTCTTGTCTGCTCATGCTTTTGTACATCTATCTAATTCCACAAGAGAAAACACGAGAAGTAGATACTCATAAAGCACACACACAAGGCTTGTGCTTTGTCCTTTGTCTGTCTGGGAATCTTTCTTGTCAGTTGAAAAGGAAAAATGAGGATGTTGACCTGCCAAAAATCTCCATATCTTGACTTTTTATCAACAAGCTGCTCACACGCCAACTGTGTTCTTTTCTGAAGCTGCCTTTCAGGTGTAAATGAGGATAGTGAGCTGGGATTTCCCAGAAAAGACAAGGTGTTAGGTCACTTGAAGTAGACGAAATAAGCTTAATTGCATAGCTTTGGTTACGTTTTGAGAGTTGACTGACGTGTCTTTTGGTATCTGCAAGCAATACGTTTACAGTGTATGATAAAAAAAGTATTCTATTTTAAGATCTTACAGTCATGCCTTTATCTTTACCACACTCATGTCTGTAGGCCTGTTTATGGTGCAACAAAACAAACTATGAACCTGCCTTTTTCCATCACGTCACGATCAACCGTGACTCAGCATGCGTTGTTGTCGGCACAACAACAGCAGCAGTAGAAAATGTTGAGATGATGTCAGCAGTTAAGTTAATACAGCTGTAGCCCTCCTGCTTTATAATTAGCAAAGGGAATCAGGATATAGTGTTTCCTGTAGGATTTTTTTCAGCAGCTGGGACAGGCTGTCCGGGAGCCGAGGCGGTGTGAACAAATGACATTTGACTGCAGATTTTGTTTTTACAACCTATTCATTGAATGGCCAGTTGAAAATGGCTTTTGAAAGGCTGAATGTCAAAATTTAAAGAATAAAAATTTGAAGGAGCGGCGGCTAAGATTTAGGAATGGCTGCCCGCCACTCCTAAATGAATGTAGAAGAAACACTGGGATAACCTGCCGTGACTTAACATGTGAATTAATATTCAAATGAACCTCTGTCTCAAGTGTGAGAACATTTGGTTAAATTTAGTTAATTTGAACACAGGTAAAAAAAAATACATCAACTGGGTTAATCAGTGCGATAAAACACTAATGGTGGTTCATATACCTGCATCGTTGCCCATGAATTCCTTGTGCATAGTTAGGAAATTTGAATAAAATGGTAGACTCTGCCTCTAAAAATTAAAACATAAATGTAGAAATATTGAGTTACTATTGCTGAAAAATGGTGATGATAATTACAACAGCAAATAGGAGGTTTAATTCCGTGTTTGCTGTAGGGATTATAATTTTGTTAGCCCATAACCTTTGGTTAATCTAACAGTCAACAAAGGAACAATAGAATGGTGTCGGCAAAATGGTAGGAGATGGAGGGATAGATGTGCGACACGACTGTAACGGCTGCAGTTCATTACATTCATCTCGGCTTCCTGTGGGCTCACAGTGGTTCCTGATTCTCTGTAAGCCACATGTGATATTTAGAAAGACGGTGGCTGAGCTACATGCGTTTTCCCCTCCTGATTCAGACCCTTATTGCGATTCCTAAAATGTAACTGTTTGCATCTCCAGTGTAAGAATGATACATCCTGTTAAAGGTCCGGACAGATGAAGAATTTTGGAGCTCACTGACTAGACCTTATTGATTTTCTCTGCCTCTCTCTCTCTCTCTCTCTTCCTCCAGACCTCCTAAATGGAGCCCAGGAGAAGTGTGAGCTGCCGCCTTTGGATGGTTTCCCTCACTGCGAGGGCAAGCTCAAGGTGAATCACACATACGAAACACACATAAAAACAAGCCTCTCCATCTCGCTCTCCGCGCCTGTCTTTCACACGGTTTTATTCCTGCGAATAGGTGGTTTGAAATATGTAAAAGAACTGGGTAGGTAGCCTGAGTAAGGAAAAGAGCACTGCCTGCAGAAATGACACCGTAGCCGCATGCCCACACGTTTTGACTGACAAATGATCTTGTGGGAAGTGCAAGCGCAAACACAGAAAATGTTTCGTGTAGTGGAGTGCAGCTTCTACACAGATAGGTAGCATATTGTGTTGATGTAGTATGCAGGAGTTTGTAGCAGTTTCATGATCAAGACACCTGGTAACACACTGTGAACACAGCAGTTTTGAACATATTAGAGGAATTAAGGTTTTAGGAGTTATTTTTAAGAAAGTGACTCGCAGACAAAATTGAAATTAAAGTTGTATTAAAAGGTTTAGGCCACTAAAGGAAGTAATTCAGGCCTAATATTAGAACTTAAACACAGGTCATTTAAGATGTGTTTCTATCATTTTTTTTTGCAATGATAAGTCGATAATGATCTGTGTCGCAGAATGAAACGAGCAGCAGGAAAGTGTGTTTGCTCATGTGCTTGTCTTATTATGCGAAAACTTTGCTAACTAGCGCTACTGGAATTCAAAAACTCCATAAGGTACCTTTAGTTCCTCTCATATTTACTCTTTCTCTGACATAAAAGGCTTTTTTTTGTGTGTGTTGAATCGTTAGAATACTTAACTGTGAAATTCACTGACAGATTTGCGTATCTAATGCATCTACCTATTTACACATCTGTCATGGCACCGCAGCTCTTCAAACAAACAGTCCCATACAATCCTGTTTTCCATAAGCAGGCTGGGAAACCAGATGTCAGGCAGGTTTAATTTAACTTTTAGGGACAACGGGGTGCTTGGAACCCACACAAACACATAGGTGCAAACTCACAAATAACATAGACACAAACCGCACACAGCTGTATGCACAATTTCAGTCCAATGTCTTCGCTTTTCTGTGCGTATTCACCGGTGGCCCTGAAGCTGATAGGCTCCTATCATACACACCATCTGCTCAGCCAGTCCCAATCCTCCACCGATACTGTCAGCATTTCCAACTGGGCGCAAGGCGATGCCAAAGCTTTCGCTACACATGCACGAGCGCACAAGCGTACGCACACATAATTCATATACACACAGTCTGCACATGAGCCTATTTTTTTTGCTTTAAAAATTTCAGAATTCACCAAGCTGCTTCTCCACAGCAGTTTCACTATCGGCACTCAGCTTGCACCATCTGACAAATCCATTTTATCATTTTATAGACCTTTTTCGGTTGTAGTCTCTGTGCCTTCACCACCGAAACTACTCCCGTCCAAGCCCATCTGCCAAGTCTTCCTACTATAAACAGCTTTGAATTGTGTGCTGCTCCCTCCGGTTACTATAAGTCAGCATGCATGATGTACTCTCGTCTATGAACTGAGCAGGATAGCTGTCAGTCCACATTTTAGCTCAGTAGCCCTTCTACTCCCACATTAACGACAGTGTCACAGAAATCTGCCTGCCACATGACACAGAGGCGCAGTGTTCTCATCTCCGTCCATGTCCAGAATCTTCCTCTGTCCTTGTTTTTCCTATTTCCTTCATTCTGGAAAATGTATTGAGGATAGATCCGTTGTAGTCAAGAGTGACATTTTCACATCGATTTATTTCCACATATTCACACAGGAGATCTACCCCAGAACAACCTCAGTCTTTTTCTGTTAGCTAGCCATGCAGTTCACTGCATGACTTTTACATGTACTTGACAAAGGGGACTTTGCAAAGCCAATAACTGTCACAATCTTTGCTTCTCAAACCGAGGATGGGTGTCAGCTGCTGTACATTGTTATATATATTCTCTCACAGGCTGGCCACACACCACAGTTGCTGGTAAATTGACACACAGGCTTGACTTTTTTGTATTCAGCCACAGAGCTCTATTATTAGAGTGAAAATGACAGTTGTTAGGTTGTCAGTGTGAATGCCGGAGTAGAATTGAATAGCACTTGCTGATAAAATACATCAGACTGCTATTAACACACAGCATGTGCAGTATATTTCCCTGATATTGGAGTTTGAGTGAGTTAGTATGGGGACTTCAGATTTTAATCTTGCCTTCTCCATTTCTTTCTTAGTGGATGAAGGAGATGTGGCGCTCAGATTCCTGCTACTCTAACTATGGGGTGGATGGGTCCACCTGCTCCTTCTTCATCTACCTCAGTGAGGTGAGTCGTGTGTGTGTGTGCGTCTGTTGATTGAGTATTTGAAGCTAAATGATAACCACAGCATTGAAAACCACCTCTTACATGGAACCAAATCAACATGGATTACCTTTTTGTGACACATTGTAGATGTGATTGTAACATTTTTGATGGTTAAACAAGAAGATACAGTTATCACAAAAGTGCATGTCAAGCAAGAGAGCCAACAAAACCCCCTTGTCAGAGTTGTTGTGTTGATATTTAGGGTGTGTAGATGTCAACTCATGTGTCGTGCAAGAAAACATTCCACCTTGGAAATGTTCTCAATGGAAGTACATTGAGAACATTTATTTTATGTTTGTATGTTAATTAGTGAAGACAAAAAGGCAGCAAAATATACTTTGATTTTTTACAACAGCTAAAAAGGTAAAAGCTTATTTGAAGCCACTGTTTGTTCCTGTAAACCTCATTCATCACTATATATCGTTCGTCAGTAAAGTCTAAAGTTCATTTTCTGCCATATAAAAGTCATTTGACTGACAACAAGACACTGCGACAGTATGACGGTAAGCTGTTCTTTTCATAAAAACATTAATGGCGACATGATGACTTTATGAAGTGCTCAAAGTCCATCTAACATTTAATCATGTGGTCAGTTATTGTTGATAAATGTATGCAAACTGAAGGAACAGTGGTTACAAAACCCTAAAAATGACTCATAGCTTACAACTCACACGTGCATCTAAGGTGTGCTCCTGAATTTCAATGAATAACTAATCCCTTGATTGCATGGGAGGAGTTAGCAAAGAGGTTTTCCATTCAGATGTTGTGCAAAATTTAACCAGATTTCCGTAAGGTCCTCAAAGGAAATGCTAATTGATAATTCTCCGCTAAACTGCCTTCAAACAATTAAAGAGAAAGAAAATGCAGCAGCATGAGCGCAGGGTTTTTCCTGCATAGAGGATTTCTGGTTCCCTTCAAAGAGGTGTTAGCCAGGCGCCAAATTGGAATCACCTGCACCACAATGATAACAATTGAGAATAAAAACAGCTATTCAAATCCTCTCCAAATTGTTTAATACAAATTTATGAAACAGCTGTTTAACAAGCAGAAATTGAACCTAAATATGTTATCTTCGACCTCCAGCAGTCAACGTCTGTCGCATCCACATCCGCTATATTTACAGAAAACAGGAAAATGCATAGATTTTTGTCAAATAAGGAAACATTGTCGCGTGTAGTCGTCCCCGAAAATGCTCATTCAGAGCCAGGAAAAGCCCTAGAGTGCCAGGCAAATGCCAAACAATGCCTGACGTGATAAAAATGTGGCATTTCTAAATATTTCATGCATGCATTGAAGAGTGTTATATTCTCCTCATCGGTCTGTAAATACTCAACAATATTGTTTCCACATTAAACACAAGTGAGATTCAATAGCTCCAACAAACAGCTACAACCCAGAAAAAATGAATGCTCCATAGCCAGAGCGTCCTGTAACCTGAGAGTGATCGCAGAAGAATGAAGTGCTAAAAATGAGAGCAAAGGAGAGAGGTAAAGGGGATTTCATTTTTTATGAGAGCAAATTAGAGTGTGCTGAAGAGGACAGTGTGGGAGAAAGAGGAGATGATTCAGTGGGAAGGGAGGGGGAGGACCGCTGTGGTGTGAGGCACTTTTTCAAGGGATGAGTTTTCAGCCTACAAGGGAAGACGTGAAATGACTTTGCTTCCCTGCCTCAGTCTTTACACATGCCCGGGAAAAAGCTGCCAGACCAGCATGGCAGAATCGTTCATTATTTACGAGCACTAACATATAGACGCTTGTGTCCCTTCAAGGGACACTTTTAGACCTTGAATTTTGTATGATTTATCTGCACCAAATGGCCAGATATTCATTTTCTAGTAATGAATGAATCTTGGTGTTAAATCTAATAAAAGTCTGATTTAAAATGTATTAAGCTGAAGAAAGGGTGTTAATATTTGCCTTTGAGAGTTTCTGCAGTTGCTTCTATTCTTCCTTGAATTACAATCCAAACAAAAATGTAATCTGACAACGACGCACATTTCCCACCACCTTCTGAATGCAAAAATACGCTAATAAAATGCTGATTTCTAAACTGTTTTGCACTCTTTAAACTCTGCAGAGAACAGCTCTACTTCCCATATTTCAGCTGTGATGTATCATTTCAAAGATCCTCCATAAATCGTGGTGGTTAATTACTTTTCTGTTTTCTGATTCTTTCCATCTTTAATTGTTTCATCAACTGCTGATTCAAGGGAGGGTCTGTATTAACTGGTGGAGAGCTCTTCCTTGGTCATTTTGTTGTATTTATTTTTAGAGAAGATGACTAATAGCAGGATATTTTTTAAGAAAAGTAAGATTTCAGTCATAGCTCCAACTCTGGAAAGGTCAGTGTCCTGTTATGAATATTGCATATGAGCTGAAAGCATTGCAGTCAACAAGGAAGGAGCCCAGAAAGCCTGGCCTGTTCTGTATGGAAATAGAAGTGAAATGGACAACAGTAAAATCCATTAGGAGGAGAGGAGCCTCTTCAGTGCTGCTCCCAGTTCACAGAAACAGGACACAAACAGATAATATTTGCTATGAAAAAACAGTAAGAAATCAAAACAGATGCATCTACTCTCTCTCTCTCTCTCTGTCGATCCTCCTAATCTAACAGCCCTCAGCCTCCACTCCTGGTCATGTGATCGCACCGTTGCCATGGTGATATGCATGTAGTTTCCATCTCGAAAACAGCTGCGATGGGTCTCTCAATCCATCTTAGCCTGTCCGTTAAGAGAACACACGGAGGCTCAAGCTCAAACACACACCCTTTGCCATGTATAATTCATACGAGTTGACCACCACATTAACCTTGTTGAGGGGCCGAAGCAGAAAGGGCAACACATCGTGATGGATGTCAGCGGTAGAAGGTCGAGGCTCAAGTAGCGCAGTGTGTTCAGGAAGGAGAATAAACACACCTACAGAAAAACAATGCAATCGCTTATTGCTGAGATAAGCAACACATCACTTCCCCATAACCTCCTGTATGATCAAATGCCAACTGTTAAAAAAGGGAAGGAAACGCTGAGGCAGAAGTAGCGGCTGAGGAGGAGAGGGGAACTGGATTTTCATCAGATGTAATCACAGCGGGATGAGTCGATGTCCAAAGTGACTGCAAAGTCAAAATGCGTGCAGGTGTGTCCCACATTCTGTCTTGTGTGGCCATTTACACACAGTTAGGAATTTAAAAATAACTTCATGTAATCAGAACAGAGCAGGGTTTGCCAAAGAAGACATCACTTGATTGTTTCCCAGCCAGTGAAACTAATAGAGGCCTCAGCAAACAGAGAAAAGCTGTGTTCTGGTTCTGAAAATCTCCACAGAGCCTGTCCCCTGGAGTATGCAGAGTAATAAGGCTGGAAATATGCAGCCGATCCATTTGATGCCTTGTAAGTCAGACGGAGCATTTTCAAATCAGTCCTTCTGTCGGCAGCCAGTGCAAAGACATCAAAACACATGATCAGATGTATATGATACGTATGTGATCTTGTGAGGCAGCTGTGTTTTGATATTCGGTCCTCTAAGTTCAGCAGCAGAAAACAACAGCTGGGTTCATTTACATCTGCAGTACATAACCTGTTAAACTATAAAGATGTGCAGATGAATAAAGAAAGAAAAAAACATACTAATGCGTGTAAGCGGACATATGTGTGCGTCTGTATGTTCTCAGGTGCTAAGCTTTATTGTGTTTGTGCGTTGTTGTAATTAGGAGCAGTTGAAAGATGAAAATGCATTAAGCTGAACAGATGTTGCGCGGCTTGTTTGATAGGTGGAGAACTGGTGTCCTCGTCTGCCCTGGAGGACAAAGAGCCTAAGTGACGAAACGGACCGGAGGGGGCAGGTGAGAAACACACAGCACACAGCTCTTGTTAGCAGTAAACTCAAAACACAATGGGTGCTTTAAAGTACTTCACCGCCACAGCTGCTCTTTCAAGACGAACCTTTCGAGGGCTCTCACATCACAAGGTGTCGCTTGTGCCAAGATAGCTAATGGTGTGCTCACACGACTGTGCTGTCAGTTACAAAACACATTTTGTGTTGTTGCAGAAAAAGTTGTGACTGATGGTAGCTGCTTGTAGTTGCTGCTATAACTTTATCCACTCTAAGTCTGCATGAACACTAGAAGAATGTAGTTGTTTTGAAGCTATCAAGCACATATATAAATTAAATAGTTGATTTTAAATGAGATGGTTGTTTTCTAAGTGGCATGAATGTTTTTATTTTTTGTGCGTCAGGGCTGCACGATATATCATTTTAGCATCACCATGTACGCAAATGCAATAGTCATATTGCAGGAACTGTGACGTAAAGAGATGCAAATGAAAGCAAACATATCATGTTACAACTTATTTGTTGTTTGATACAAAAAGAAAAGCTCACACAGTTCACTTTTTCCATGGCTAATGTACAATAGAAGTCTATCTGACAGAACATCATTTCCTCTCTTTTGAGGGTTTTTGAATAAACTGAGTTTAGTAAAACTTTAAGACAGACTTTGTTGCCATGCAGTCTCCGCAGCAAAATGGACGTGGATCAGGGGAGAAAAGGAAGATTTGGTTGCTAAACCAAAATGCAACATCACTGGCAGAGCTGCACAATTGAAGGAAGATTAATAAGGATTGTGATTTTAGCTTCCCACAAGGAAGTGAATGTAATCGATTGTGATATTGATGTTTAAAATGCTCTGCTCACGGAAAGCAGCCCATGCAGATAAAATTACCTGCTTCATCTTTGGTAGATCTGACTTCAGAGCTCCATATTTTACTCATTTTAATATAATTTTTGGTATCACACCTGTTTGAGTTGCTTAGTGGAGATAAGAGGCTTCTCTGTGCACAGCTGCCCATCCAGGTTTTACTGTATTGTATGAGATCATTGGTAAATTTTAGTGTCTATTGTTAAGCAGGTGTTCAGCCAGTGAGGCATTTTGATTGCTGGAATATTTGCCTTTAGGACATGTTCTAAAAAAATATTTTGCCTCTTAAATCACCTAATAATTCTGATAAACAGGCTCATTTTGATCTCAATGTTTATACAATTAAGTACAATTGTGATTATCATTCTGTCTATAATCCTGCAGCCTCAGTCAGCTGTGTGGTTTTGTTTCAGCTCCTGAAAGGATGATGTTGTCCAGTAACAGGTCCTCTTTCAGTCGTGACGTACAGTTGTTGCCACTACATCACGCAACACATCTATTTCGTTTTACAATTTAAATCACCACCATGAAACTCTGTACAAACCCAGATTTGAATGGCACTCGAGCAACAACCTACGTCAGACGCCTTTGAGAGTTTTATCTTTCCTGCAGATGCACTCCCCTACAAATTCACCACAATGATTCTAGAAATATCAAAACTATGGAGTTATTTAAGTCATCTGGAAAAAAACAACAGTAAATTCCTGTTTGCAGTAGATATTGCAGAAACACTAAATATCACAATGTCAGTTTTTTTCCAACATCTCTGCCCCTAATGTGTTTGACATTGATTTTTTTTTTAGCAGAAATTTATACACCAAATCTCAGTCCACTTTCCTGTGGAGACACTACAGAACAATACATTCTCTAAATGACCAAAATGAGAGGTAATTTCCACTGCAGTTTGTCTGATGACATTTCAAAACATGGCAGCAAATGAACAGACCGACTGAGCCAAAGTCAACATGCCTCGATAGCATAAAAGAGTTGAGCTCCTCTCATAGACCAAAGCCGGAGTGACGGGACCTTAGGACAAATCTGGAATAATGATCTTCTATCCCTGCCAATGCGGCAGCTCACTCAAATCCCACTTAGAGCGCTTCTCAGGGCCGGCAGGCTTGTGCACAGTCCACAGTATCACGAAAACCGCACCGCCTTCCCTCTGCTGCGGGTGAATCAATATTAAGCACTCTTCATCCCCCCTCTCTGGATGCATCAACAGCACTGAGCCCTCCGTGGTCGGGAGATGCCATTTGACAGGCTTTGGAGATTTTAATTCAGGCCCAGATTTTAATAGGTTCAGTCTGCGGAAGTGATTTCCTGTCGTGATGAGGGATGCTAATGCCCTGCAACAGCCTTGTTTCAGCCACCTTAGCAGCTGGTAATGGCACTGTGGTTTCTCCTTTGCTCGCTCCATCTTTCTCACACTGGCTCTGTTTCATTTACTGCTTTTCTTTTCAGGCTGTTCATAAAAATATCTGAAACTCACAACCGAGAAGTCCCACTATTTTTACCCGATTACGCTCTATGTGGTATTCAGATGAGGCAGGTTTATATAATGGTGTGATGGGATTCAACAAAGTCCGTGACTGTGGAACCGGTAGCCTCGCTTTCAGTTCCATATTTTGTACATTAGTTTGATTTCCAGCTAGTCAGCACTCTTACCACACAGGAACGGATCAGTACAACATGTAGTTACATGGTTCACAGCAGGAACCGTTTTGCATCCGATCCCATTTATTAAACATAACAAAGATTACATAGACTCAAACATAGATAGAATGTCTCCAGATATCTTCTGTCATTTAAAATCTGACCTCCAAATCTTTATTTTGGTTCTCTGAAA